GGGTACTCGCGTGCCAACTCGATGGTGCATCATACTTTAATGTCCTGCCCGCCCGACCCGACCCGACCCGCCCGTTAGGGTCCGCCCGCCCGACCCGACCCGTCCCGCCCGTTAGGGTCCGACGGCCCGCCGGACCCGTCCCGCCCGTTAGGGTACTCGCGTGCCAACTCGATGGTACATCATACTTGAATGTCCCGCCCGCCCGACCCGACCCGACCTTTCCCGTTAAGGTCCGCCCGCCCGACCCGACCCGTCCCGCCCGTGAGGGTCCGCCCGCCCGCTGGGACCGTCTCGCCCGTTAAGGTATTCGCGTGCCAACTCGATGGTGCATCATTCTTTAATGTCCCGCCCGACCCGACCCGTCCCGCCCGTTAGGGTCCGCCCGACCCGACCCGACCCGTCCCGCCCGTTCGGCCCGCCCGCCCGCCCGACCGCCCGCCGTTCAGGTACTCGCGCGCCAACTCGATGGTGCATCATTCTTTAATGTCCCGCCCGCCCGACCCGACCCGTCCCGCCCGTTAGGGTCCGCCGGCCCGACCCGACCCGCCCCGCCCGTTAGGGTCCGCCCGCCCGCTGGACCCGTCCCGCCCGTTAGGGTACTCGCGTGCCATTTCGATGATGCATTCTACTTGAATGTCCCGCCCGCCCGACCCGACCCGTCCCGCCCGTTTGGGCCCGCCCGTTAAGGTCAGCCGGCTCGCCGGACCCGTCCCGCCCGTTAGGGTACTCGCGTGCCAACTCAATGATGCATTCTACTTGAATGTCCCGCCCGCCCGACCCGAGCCGCCCCGCCCGTTCGGGCCCTCCCGCCCGGGCCCTGCGGCGCCAGTCCCGAGAGCGGCGGTCGCGAGAGCGGCGCGCAGGGCGGCGGAACGGGGGGCTCCAGCGGTGCCAAGATTGGGGCGGTTGCAAGCTGCGTGGACTATGGTGCTGCCAGTTGGGACGACTTCCTGAGAGACTTTGCGTGGGCCGCTGCATGCGTTGCAGGCGCCAGCGGGCAGCTGGAAACGAGCCCTGATCCCAGCGGGTGCTTTTTAGGATACGCCTATGCGGCCAACCGTTGATGCAAAGGTTGGTCACGCTATTGGACCATGCGTTTCCCGAGCCGTTGTGGAAGCCCTTCGGGGAACACGTAGAGACGAAGAGGAGGACTCTCGGAGTCTCCTGGGAGCGTCTCGGGGGCCTCCGGGAGGCCTCTTGGTGCTTGGAGGCCTTCTTGGGCCTCTTACGGGCTTTTGAGGGCTTCTTAGACGCCTCTCTTCCGGCCCCATGTGCTCGGACCCCATTTGGGAGGCCTCGAAAGAAGCTCAGACCACATTTTCGGGGGCCTCGAAAGAATGGTGACGAACACCGACTGCAGTGCCTTCCCATTTTGAGCAGGAATCGCTGCTGCTGTTGCCGCCAGTCGCCCTAGCTGCGTGGGTCGTGCTGCTGCTGGTCGCCGTCGTGGTGGAGGTGCGGTTGGCCGCCGTCGCTGGCGCTGCCCTCTGGCTGTACTGCGGTGGTGGCGATGGGCGGTGGTTTTGGGCCATCTGGCTGTACTGCGCCGTCGTCGTCCTTCTTGCCGTCGTCATCGTACACCTCTCCGTCCTCCGCGGCGTGCGCAAGCCAGCCCAGGCTCCCCGTGCCGCTTCCTTTCACCATTTCATCGTCGACCGAACGCCTCTGGCCACCGTTGCCGCAGCCATTCCTGATCGATTCGCGCGGCACACGAGGCTGCCTGCAGACCTTCTGTCCGCGACGCGGGTTTGTCATGGTTGCGCAGGCGGCTCAACCCCAGGCTCGCGGGCGTGCCGCGGCCGCGGCTGCGCCCCCGGCGCCGGCGCCCGCGCCGCCTGCGCCAGCGCCGCCGGGCCCCGCC